TTGAATCAGAAGCAACAAGGAAAATAAGAATATGTGGCTTTAAAATTAGATGAGTAAGGCTTACGATCGTGTGAAACGGCCTTTTCTCAGATAAATAATGCTAAAAATGGGCTTAGATAATAGATGGGTGAATATGGTGATGGAGTGTGTCTCAACGATTAATTACTTTGTTAAGTTTGATAAAGAGGGGATTGGCCCTATTGTCCTAGAGAGGGGGTTACGTTAGGGGGGTCCTTTGTCCCGATATCTATTTATTCTTGTGGCTGAATGGTTAAGTGCCCTTCTTCTTCGGTTTGAGAGAACATGATATTATCATGGTGTGGCGGTGTGCAAGGGAGCTCCAAGGGTGTCTTGCTTATTTTTGCAGATGATACTTTTTTTCTAAGCTAAGATTTCAAAGTGCCAAAAGATCAAAGGTATTTTGCATCAACATGAATTTGTTTTAGGGCAAGTAGTTATTTTTAATAAATCAAGTTTAACTTTGAGCCCAAATGTAAGAGAATTAAATAAGAATGCCTTTTTGTAACTCCTAGGGGTGGCTTGAAGGGAGAGCAACTGTCAAGCCTCAGACCTACCCGAACACGTCAACAAATCGCCATACAGTACGAATAGTCAACCACAGTCCAACACTCCATACTATACTAGGCTTCTTGAATATCATTCATACGTAGTACATCCATAAACAAACATAATGTAAAATATTCATTGAAGCGGCGGAAAAATTAATACAAGTGTTAAATCCACACTTGGCATACTTAGGCATACAAGCCCCCAAATAATTATTCAGAAAATAGTATCTATGAACATTATTATCAATGTTTGGAAACAGAAATGGAGGAAGCGTGAACCACGTCTTCTCTCCTCAATCTTCCCGAGACAACAAGCGATGGTAGCAAGCTTCAACTTCTACCTGAAATTGTGAGGTGGTCTCCCCCGTGAAAGGGAGGTCAGTACTTTGAAGTATTTTGAAAGTACAATGACAACTACATTGTATATAATCAATGTTTCAATTTCTAAGACCCTCAAATAGGGGGATATCATAATATAGGCCGTAACCCTAGGTTACCCTGTTTGAAAATAATCCTTACTTGATATAAAGTCAAGTAGTCGGCCTTGGGCCCATCTTCATTTTTAAATGACCTTCCCTATTCCCTGTGACCACTAGTCACGACTCACGATCGTCATAACACCTTTAGTAGCTCACTACGCCATTATAGGGCTTTACCCTAGTGCGTTATAGCATGATCATAGAGCCCCGTCCTATTTCATTACCACGTCATGCTAGAGCCATGCTCTAGTCATCATATATCGTGCTAGAGCCCCGCTCTAGTCATCACTACATTGTGCTAGAGCCCCGCTGTAGTCACCACTACTTTTGTTCTAGAGTCTCGCTCTAGTCACCATTACGACGTGCTAGAGTCCCGCTCGTAGTCACACCATTCAATCCCTAAGCGCATTCTCTATGCCTAGAATTAAATTATCTTGAGTGGCCCTTAAGGCCTACCCCTAATATAACTTACAACACATACAATTCAACCTTAAAGTACGGAGTATCTCTTAAGACTACTTAAGGCATGACTTCTTACCATCCAATTCCTTAGGATTAATTCTATCATTATTCTTATTAACATCCCGACTATTATTTCAATACTAGTCGGATAAATTTAGAACAACCAAGTTCTTAATTCATAATCATATACTTCATTCCAATTGATTCTCCAATCCAAATATAATTTAATCTCAATATCCAAAATATCACTTTTATCCATTCATGAATTCTTTACATGAAGTAAAAGTATATTTCATCACAAGGTTTCATAGTTAATTCAAATATCATGCCATCATATTCATATCATATAATCATACACAATTTGTTCTAAATTTGTAAATCATGCTTCATTTACTCATAGACAATGGTATTTTCATGTAGGCATTGTTAATCATTAGTAATCCATGCAAAATCACATTTAATTACCTTAGATAATCTTATGAAACTCACTAATTATAAGCAATATAGTCAGTCATCCTCACCTTATGATTTGCTACAATAGTTGCCTTTGCTAAGCCTCTCGATCAATCCCCGTTCTAGGCCGATTGAAACGAAAAATCTGGACAGCAGCCAAAAGCCGGGCGGTTTTCGTGAATGCCAGGCGGTGTTCGTGGTCTGCAGATTCGGTTTGAACTCCTATCGATTCCACGACTCTTCTAAGTTAAATATCACCACTTTATAACAATATTCTACACTTTTGAACGTGTAGAATCTCTTGTTTAATCCACCATATGATTTCTTAAAAATTATATCAAAACAATACTAGCTAATAAATACTAGATGAGTTCTTACCTCAACTCCTAGCTTTTTCCCTCTTGGATTTCTTTCCTATTTCTTCCTCAAGCTTGAGCTTAGGTGAAAAACTTTCTTAGAGCTCTTTCTCCCACTTGGTTGCCCAAAGGATAGGGGGAGGTACTTCACTCAATCAACACCATGTACTCTGAATGAGTGAGACTTGGGGTGTGGGTTCTTGTCTCTAAGAGGCTTCCCATCCCCTTGTCTGCACCAACCCCTTTTGGGTTGTCCCCCTCCCTATTATTTGAGGTTTATGTGCCTTATACAATGTACCAAGTGAGTGTAAGAAGTCCCTCCTAATTATTCCTGCTATTTCTGACAGGTGGGGTCCAAATAGCACTAGAGTTGCCCAAACATTTCCCTCAACTTTAGTTGGCATTTTATAGGGCTTCTATAATTATTATGATGACCCAACTAAATATTTGGTAGCTCATTCTCAGTATTATGGACCCGATAAATAATTTAATTAATCATTCATTAATTAAATATACCATTTTGTTACACAATTTTATTCGCTAGGAAATTCAAATAAATATTGAATTTCAAATTCAAGTACATCCAAGTGCAGTGTCACAGCAAACCTCTTTACTACGGTTTGCCGTCTTAAGTTGGAAGTGAGAAGAAAGCAACTCAGAGTTTACTCAAGGATTTGAAAAGGACGAAGAGTTGAAATAACAAGTTCTTATTGAGGGCGAGCGGGGGGAGTCCTTTTGAAAAATGTCATTCAAGTTATGCCAACTTATGCGATGAACATGTTTTTATTACCTAAATCTCATAGTGATGAGATACAAGTCTTAATGAATGGTTATTGGTGAAAGGGATCCAAGTTTGAGCAAATAGGGATTCAGTGGAAAGCTTGGAGTGGATTATGTAAGCCTAAACATGAGGGAGGACTTGGTTTTCGCAGAATAAAAGAATTTAATATTGCCATGTTGGCTAAGCAAGCTTGACGGTTTTTTATGGAGCCGAATAGTCTTATCGGGCGTGTTTATAAGTCCCAATATTATCAGGAGGGATCTATCCTCACAGCTCATTCAGGAAGGAATTCATCTTTCATTTAGATGAGCATCTCTGAGGCTCAACCAGTGATCATAGAGAATACCCGCTAGCGTGTATGTAGGAAGTGGTGTGGAGGTGTAAGTTAGGGCAAATGCATGGTTACTAAGGAGTGGGTTCGGGATAGTGCAATCGACAAGACCACTGGGCATAAAGGATACAGATGTGGCTGCCTTGCGTTCGGAGGATGGTAAACGTTGGAATGTGGAAAAGGTTCTATCAATTTTTTGTTAGAGGGGTGCACAAAAATTTTCAGTTTACACATGAATGTTAAGAGTTCTTTAAGTTAAGAGTTGTTATAGAAGCTTGATTACAGGAGCAATAGTAGTGATTGGTGCGGCTGGATCCGCATGTGGAATTTAAATATTCCTCCTAAAATCAAATTCTTTTTTGGGCAACTTATGGCGGACTGTTTACCTACTGCACTTAGGAGTGGGCAAACGGGTAGAGAAATCGCAGGTCGGGCCGGATAATACATGTTCAGGTCGGGTTAGGGTCATGCCTAATTTTAGAAAAGTCAAATGGTTTGGGGCATGGCGGGTCTTTAAAAGCTGAGGAACCGTACGAGTCTTGAAACTTGAAAAAACGGGTACCCGGACTGACCCATTTTATAATGTTATTTTAAAAAAATCTATTACATTTAATAAAACATACTAATAAGAGAAAGTTTATCATGTTATTACGTCTAGACAAAGACTCTCAACAAAAGAAACTTGACAATCTATTAAAAAGACTGTCAAAGTCCATAAAAATCCCAATTTATTTCCCCAGTTCTCTATTGCAAATGCATCAAACTTTCTTTATGTAATATTTTTTTGTAAACGAAGACTCTTACTCAATCAAGTGTGACATATTTATTTAATTATCATAATCTCACTTATATTTTGAGATTTAATTAGCTTTAAATTGTTTTCATAGACAAATGCGTATGATAACTAGTTTAGTTTCTTCTGACTTTATAGTGATATCGTTTTAGTTTATGGATAATGATGTCTAAACTTCTACATTTTAAATTTTGGTGTTGTTTAATTTGGGTGTTTTTGTGTTATTTAATTTATAGATTTGTGGTTAGATATTTTGTTAACCAATTTCAAATGTTGTTTTATATTTGTTATTTTGAATTTGCACTATATTATGGTGACAATATGACATTGATACTTATTTAGTCGGATAATGTTATAACCACTAGATACTTTGCTAACATAGCAGTATTGTTTTACAAAGAAAAAGAACCGAGAACTCAGACCGAACCGGCCCGTTTCAAACGGGGCGGGTAAGATCCGATTCCTATTCCAAAACTTGGAGTACCCGGACCGAACCTATCCGTTAAGTGAAATCGATGATTCCTCAAAATATATCAGTTACCCGGACGGATTCGGAACGTACCCACCCCTAACTGCAATGACACTCCAACGATGAGGAGCGAGTACGAACCCATAAACAGTAAAAACCAGCCAATAACTGCAGGAATGCAGGATTGCTCGCTTTTACCCAACATCCACAACCCCAACTAGGGCCGGCCCAGGGCAGGTGCACTCAGCCCATTCGCACAGGCCTAAAGTTTAGAAGGCCTAAAAAAAGCAATAGTAGTTCTACTCAGCCCGCCTCCAGCCGGTGGGCATGATAGAAACTTCACTCCACTCCCATGGCTGATGATATTCTCAGTTTCTAAGACTCTATGAGCTTCTTTACTCCATTATCAATGATTCAAAACATATCTCTGAAACACTCAACCCGAACTTCATCAAGGAAATTAGCCCACATGTTGCTCCAAACCGTGTACAAGTCCAGCGGAGGAGGGAGACCAAAACAGAAGGTTTACCATAGAATTCATGAGTTGGACAGAGTAATGGATCTTCAGAAGAAGCCGTCCTTGATTTTACAGCTAAAATCCATTATCGAGTCTCAAAGATACCAGAGCCTCCTTCTCAGAGACCTTGAAAAGGAAGTAGGGTTCGTTCAGAAGTGGAATTTCATAAATGCCATTGAAAGGTACCCTACAATTTTCTATGTCACTGGTGGTACTGGAAAGCCTCCTGCAGTTATGCTGAGTAAGAAAGCTAGGGAAATTGCCGCAGAAGAAGAAAAAGTGCGATTGGAAATGGAACCCATTCTGGTAAATACCTTGCGGAAGTTGTTAATGTTATCAGTTGATTGTAGATTGCCTTTGGAAAACATTGATTTGATTCAAAATGAATTAGGGTTACCTCATGATTACAAGAATTCTATGATCTCAAAATACCCACAATTTTTCTTGATGAAATGCGTTAATGGGAGAGATTGTCTTCACCTGGAGAATTGGGATTCTTCATTGGCAGTCACTGCTAGGGAGCAAAGTTTGCTGTGTGAGAATGATTTGATTTTTGATGAAAAGAAAGCAAGAATATCCAAAGACGGGAACTTTTCTGGTCCGTTTTCTTTTCGTTTGAGTTTTCCAGCTGGTTTTAGGCCTAACAAGAGTTATCTTGAGGAAGTTCTAAGATGGCAGAAGTTGGAGTTCCCATCTCCTTACTTGAATGCAAGAAGATTCGACATTTCCGATCCAAAGGCCAGAAAAAGAGTGGTGGCGGTGCTTCATGAAATGCTTAGTTTGACCATGGAGAAGCGGTTGACCTCTGCTCAAATAGAGGCATTTCATTCTGCATATAGGTTGCCAGCCAAACTATTGCTTTGCTTGATCAAACAACATGGTATGTTTTACATTACAAATAAAGGTGCAAAGAGCACTGTGTTCTTAAAAGAGGGTTATAATGGATGTAATTTGATCCACAAATGCCCTCTTTTGGTGTTTAGGGATAAATTTATTTCGCTTATGGGCAGAAGGGACATAAATTCATGTACTGGTGTTCATCCTAATCTATTGCATGAAATAAGTTAGTTTATACTATGTTGTCCCTTCCTTTAGAAAGGGATAATTTGTACAGTTATGCTTCCAATAAGCGAAAATTATTAAAATAGTGAAGATGAAAGAATGTGATGTATGTGCCTATGTGCAAGTTCTTGTGATGCAACCAAACATATTTCGGCCTTTTGCTTTCGCCTTTCAATGTTCTCTTAGCTATACTCCAAATTGTTATCCTGATCTTACACCATATTTTACGGCTTGTTTTGTTCAAAAGAGTGGGGCAGATGAAGGGAGGAAAATAGAATTGTTTAACAAGATATTATGTTTGGTTCAATGGAAGAGCAAGAGTGGATTAGTATATTTGGAAAACATATAAAAATACTAATTTTAATATTTTATCCTATAATTATAAAGATAGTTGTTTGCTATGTGTAAAACGATAATTTTGTAGAACTATTTTCATGAATTAACTGAAAAAGAAACTATGAAAAAAGACCATATCTAAAAAATACCCAAATTGGGGAGCGTGACTTGAACGGTTCGGAAGTCTTTGACCATGTTGATAGTTATAGATTTATAGTTATTTACATTAGTTTATTGAAGTTAGTTGTATTTATATTAGTTGTTTTGACCAACTTCTTATATTAGCTGTTTATGCAGGGGTGTGTTTGACACAACTAGCCGAAAAGATACTTTTGTGAGCTTTTTAATAACTGTTAGCTTTTAGTGAATTAAAAGATCTTAAAAAGAAAAGGTGGTAGCTGTTTGGTAAAAATCTGACTGTTTGATTTAGTTCGGTTTGGTATACAAGCTGTTAGGACTAATTAGTACTAAAAGTCACGGGCTTTTCTGAGTTTCTCGGATGCTACTCCCCGTAGCATGTCAAAAAAGATATTTTAATTTTTGAAAAACTCTTAAAAATCGTCACGCCAAACATACAACTAGAAACTTTTAAAGACTTTTTGAACAGTACAAAAGCTAGAAGGCAGAGACTTATGTCTGCCAAACATAGCCTTTTCAAAAGCCTATATTCACTCAAAAGCCTTTTCTCGAAAAGCACCCAAGTAAGCTTGTAAATAGATACAAAGGCTTTGTTCACTCAATTCCCAGAGCTTATTTGCATTTGCTTGAAGCAGTATAGACTATAGACTCGTTTTCTGCTTTAAATTCCAACTCCCTATTATGATTTGTTTTGTCCTTAAGATTTGCATTTGTTTTCTGCATTAGATATAGCCTCATGTGCAGGGGCACAGCTAGACATGCATTCAAGTTTCATTTTTTTAGAACATAACAGTACTCCGAATTGAAAATTTAAAATGCATAAATTAGTAATTGTACATATCCTACAAGTAGACAACTATACAAGTCAGGTTTTATATTTCCGAAGTCCGAACACCATACTCAATAATTAATGTTGATACTAGGCTAAAGAACAAGTAGGCATTACGAAAATCGGTTTACTTGGCATTGCTTGTTTGAGTTATCTTATATGAACTTTGGACATTTAGCCCATACTCAGTTACTCTAGAGTCTAGACATTGCATTAGTTTACATAGAATACTAACTATTACTAATACTCGACCTTGGAACTCTATTATTACTCGGCCTTGGAACTCTTATTATATATTTGTTTGCAACTTCTGAAATGAAGTATCTTGAATGACCAATAATTTATTATTTTCTGGTATTCAGAGTTTCTATGTTTTTCAGAACTTATCACTAAAATAAGTGCAGTGGATAGCGGATAAAAATGTGACTCTATACACAATTATCATATTACTATTAGTAACCTTTAGTGAATGTTAATATGTTTAGTTTTACAAATTAGTGACCATGAATGTATGTTCATAATAACTTTAGTCGCATTTTTGTCTATAAATTTTATTTCACTGATATTTTATATAAAAAAAACCTAATAAAATTTTAAACATTATCATAGTTGTGTTAGATGTGAATTTGTTTTAATAGATACACATCCTTGTAATTTGACTCTTCTTTTTCAATAGAAGTGGTATCAAATTGAACTTTAGGAAATGTTGCTTCATATATGATTTGAAAAAGGTTTTGGGTGTTCTCAATTAACACTCTATTTGTAGCTTCCATCCCTACCACTTGAACATGATTTAATGGAAGCACTTTAATGGCATTGAAACATTGATGACTTAGACTGGACACACCACCGGATGTTTTTAAGTGGTTCTGCTCCAAACACGGGTGGTTGTTTATTGTTGTAAGTGAATGCAACGAAAAGACCTGGGAAAAACGAATAATGAAACGATTCATATATTGAAAATGTGATCTTTCGTGCTCATTTCCAAATTGATGATTTTCGATTCCAATCATTCTGTAACCACAGAATGATCCAGGGAGAGGTGGCAGTATTCGAATCTATGGCCGTCCTGCTGGTTTGGGTGGCCGTGTAGTACCAAGCGCGTAAACGTGTCTCCCTGACAATTCGAGAGCTTGTGCCATTACCAATCGTGAGGAAGCGAAGCTAAGCCATTTGACTAGGCATACGAATGGGTCAGGTGGAGCTAGGGATGGCCTCGGGCCGGTTCGGGCCCGGTTCGGGCCTAGGCCCGGCCGGGCCTCGGGTCTGTTTTGTTGGGCCCGAGCCCGAACCGGTGGCCACCTGTTCCGGGTCCGGTTCCGGGCTGGACCGGGCCGGGCCACCCGGTTAGTTTTTTTCTTCTTCCCCCCCCCCCCCCCCCCTCACCCCCACCCCCCCCAAACCGGTCCTAAACATCAAGCCCAACTCAATAAAGCCCAAACAAATGAAAAAAAAAAACAGTTTTTGGCCCGAACCCGGGCCCGACCCGGCCGGGCCGGTTCGCCAAATACAAGGCCCGAGCCCGGACCCGCCCCCCACCGGGCCTAGGCCCGACCCGGACCCGGACCCGGACCCGAGAACCGGGCCGGTTCCAGGCCCGCACAGTGGCGGGACGGGCCGGTCCCGGGCCGGGCGGCCCGAACCGGGTCCATGACTAGGTGGAGCGGGTAGTTTAAGACCTAAATCCGCCCTATGACTTTACTAAATGGAGCCGCCCCGTCCCGCCTCGTGATCCGCACAGATCATTATATGTTGACCTATGACCCGCGGGTTACAGGTAGGGGTGGGCAAACGGGTGCGGGAACCGCGGTTCAGGCCCGATAATACAGGTTTGGGGCGGGTTAGGGTCGGGTCCTAATGTTAGAAAATCCAAACGGTTCGGGGCGGGTCCTGAAAAACTTAGGAATCGAACAAGTCTTAAAATTTGAAAAAATGGGTACCCGGACCGAACCGTTTTACAATATTATTTTAATAATCTCTAAAATACTTAATACTAGTATAATATAATATACTAACAACACACGAAAGCTCTTCATGTTATGTGTTTAGACAAAGATTTCCAATTCAAGAAAGTTCGCAGTCTATTAAAACTACTGTCCAAGTCCATATAATTAAACTCCGATCCTAAACTATTTTCCTCTGTTCTCTATTTCAAATGCTTCAAACTTTCTTTTTTTTTTTATATTTTTTTGTAAACAAAGACTCTTACTCAATGAAGTGTGACACATTAATTTAATTGTCTTAATTTTACTTATACTTGGGGATTTAATAAGCTTTAAATTGTTTTCATAGACAAATATGTATAGTAACGTAACTAGTTTAATTTCTTATGGATTTATAGTCCTGCCTTTTTAATTGGTTTACAAATGATGATTATCATTTTAATTAAGTTGATTGTGTGTTGTTTAATTTATAGATTTGTGGTTCAATATTCTGTTAACTAATTTAATATGTTGTCTTCTTTTATTTTGAATAAATACTATAATATGGTCACATTAATATGTACTACCTCCGTCTCATTTATATTGGGACGGAAGAGGTTGACACGGTTATTAAGAAAAGTGGGTTTGTGTGGTTGATATTAATTGATAAAGTAAGAATAAAGTAAGAATGATTTAGAGCCATACAAACTTTGCCAAATATGGTATGGGACAATTTGAGTGAGACTTCCCGAAAAGGTAAAATGGGACAATATAAATGGGACGGGGGGAGTAATTAATTTGAGAATTTATAACTTACTAGAAACTTTGCTTGTATATTAATTTTTTTTACAAAAAGAAGGAATCGAGGACTCGGACCGAACCGGCTCGTTTCAAACGGGGCGGGTAAGATTCGGTTCCTATTTTGAAAATTGGAATATCAGGACCGAACCTACCCGCTACATGGAACCGGCGATTCTTGAAAATTTATCGATTATCCGCACCGACCCGGACCGTGCACATCCCTAGTTACAGGGTCATTATGTTGACCTATGACGTAGTAGTGTAAAAAAATGATGACACTCCATCTTTGAGGGACCCCCAACTAGGCTTGGATTCGGTTCGGGCCACCCGGCCCGGGAACCGGCCCGACCCGGTACTGTACGGGCCCGGCCCGGGAACCGAGTTCCGGTTCCGGGTCTAGGCCCGATTATAGGGTGTAACCGGGGCCGGTTCTGAGAGAGGTGAAATGTGAACCGACCTGGCCGGGGTCGGGCCCGGTTCGGGTCTTTTTATTTTTTATTTTTAATGTTTTTTGGGTTTGGGCTGGGTTTACATGGGCTGGGTGTTTCCGATGGGTTTGGGGGATGAGGGGGATGAGGGGAGGGGATGAAATAAATAAGAAAACAAAAAAAAAAATGGAACCGGAACCGGCCTAGAACCGGTAGACAACCGGGCCGGTCCCGGGCCTAAACCACAACCATCCAGACCCGACCGGGCCTAGGCCCGACCCAGAACCGACTTGGCCCGGGTCCATGCCTACCCCCAACAGAAGCCGGATAGTTAACTAAGAGGACGTAAATTAGACTTTAATAACAAGATAGTTAACTCTTGATCAAGTATTTGAAGAGGCCCTATGTCTTTTTACATAGCAACCTCATATCACAGTTGGCATGATTCGAACCCGAGACTTTGACACTCCATATCTACCAGTTGAGCTACACAATCTGGCGACCCCAGTAGTGTAGGCAGGACATAATATTATGGTGGACATGTATAAAAGTTGTTTTTTTTTGGATTTTTTACATTTACTTTTACCCTAATAATTTGATTAAAATTGAATTTTGGGGTGAGCTAGAGCCTAGATTGACCCGCTAGCTAGCTACAGCCCTATGTGACTTGCCCCACCATTACATAAATATGTAATATAAGTTCTTATTTGAGTGAAGTCATTATAACTTCAATTTAAATTAAGTTTATCTCC